CGCTCGAAGAAATGTTAATGGCGCATTTTGCGAGACAAGATTCGTGAAGTGCGTGTATCATGTTTTGAAACGTCCTGTGGACACCCGTTCGCGAGTTGATGTATCGGCACCGGGTGTCTCATTAAATATCACAACGGTCTAATTGGACAGATTGCTTTTAAAGAATGTCCACGAGGACGAAACGAACTCTCCTCGGAATGACGCTCGTAATCATTCACGAGCGCGCTTTAGACCGGACGCATTGCTCTCGCATGCATATTAATGGGGGAGAGAGCTAGAGCGAGAGAGAAAGAGAAAGAGAGAGAGAGAGAGAGAGAGAAAGAGAGAGGAAGGGAGAGAGAGAGAGAGAGAGTCAGAGAGAAACGCGCATAAAGTGACCGTGGCGCGACACGAGTCGAAGCGCAATCATCGGGACAAATCCGTCCACGTTCTTTAACGACGCGCGGCGCGGCATTTAATTATTTTAGATAACGCCGTTCGTTGTAACACACCGGCACCGCAATTCCGGCGCGTTTATCACGATTGTACGCTCGCATTAATCATTCGCGAATATTTTATTGTATATTTGCCTCTCTCATTAGTGATTTATTTAATTAGTATGGAAACTGGTTAATAAAATCCCACGTGTATGCTACGATTTGTCAGTGCCGATATATCCTATAATTTTTTGGTTTCACAGTTGCACACGCTCTCTCTTTTCTTCTTTATTTCTTTCTTCTTTACTTTTTAAATCTTCGCCCGAAGTGAAACATAAATTGGCTTCGTTCTTTTAATATATGTTTTACCATCTGTAAATAATATATTTCACAATTTGTTTGGGATTTTTACAGTCGGCTTGCAAAATGTGACAATTTTTTGCGGTCAGATTGAAGTTAATGAACGGCACATGTTTATTAATGCACGAGAGATTTCAGTTTTTAATCTTGTAAAAAATATTCATTTATATTTTACTGCTGTTGCGTCATATTTACTATTGTTGTCGTTATTATTAGTTCGAGACAGAATTAGCTTCCAATCCCTCGTGAAAGCGAATTCGTAGATCGCGGTAACTGTGCCGCCTATGAAAGCTTTTCTTTCTCCAGAGGGCACCCGGGAACGAAAGGGAGAGAGAGAGAGAGAGAGAGAGAGAGAGAGAGAGAAGAGGCAGGTCGATATTGATTCCCCCGGTAATTTACGAGATGGTTCGACCCGGCGCCTGCCGGTTCGCGGGTACGATTGTCGTACAACCGCCATCGAAGGCACCTTAACCCCTCCATTCTAATCTGGCCTGATTTACACCCGGAATATCCGTATTGCCGAGGGCGAACAGCCGTCGTGTGTTACCGATTCCTCTCAATCCCGCGGCATTACGCAACACGAGACCGAGTTTCACGACATTATCACCGGATTAACGTTCCATTGTGGAACACTTTATCGTCCGCGCGAAGAAATTCAAATCACTCCCTTCCCCCGTCTTATATTTCTCGCGTTCTCTCCCCCGCGGCTGCGTCGAGTATCTCGCCATCGCTTCGTGTCCTCCCTTTACGTTATACATTCGATCGTATTCACATCGGAATACGACGCCTGTAGAAATGTTCCATCGGAAAATCGCGCCAGCAAAATCATCGCGACGTTAGCCCGTGACGAGTCGGCCGGGTCACGAATTTTTATTGTCAGAACGTAAAAAGAAAGGCTGACCATCCGCCTGTCAAATAAAAAATACAATAAACAAAAAATCACAAATAAAAGACGTTGCTTTGTAATTTTTGCAAGATCAAAAAGTAACAATGTTGTCCCTCGAAGAGACGGGACCGCGGGCCTCGCTCGCTCGCGACGAGCGCGATCCTCGCGCGAGATGTTGCCCGCGAAAGAACGCAGTGGGAGAGTTCGAGAACACAGGCGAAACAGCTGCTTGAGTAGGGTTAATCTTGCGAGGTCCGATAGTAAAAGCGGATTCTCGCGGGCGCAATTAAACGGCGGATTTACGATATTGTGTTCGGGAGGACAGTATACCTTTCGGATCTCACACGGGGGTATTAAATAACGATTTTTGCGTCCGATAATCCCGGGAGAGGATCGGGGGAAGAGAAGCGGAGAAGGAGGAGGAAGAGGAGGGGGGAGAGATTCGCCACGCGGATCGTAGGAGCGAAGAAGGACTCGTGCACGCTTAATCCTCGGGAGCGAGCGAACGCGATTTTCGCGATAAATCCGATTGCTCGGGGGAGGAGGAAATTTGAGAGAGCTGTATAAAATGTTAAAAAATTCAAATCGAGTGGAATTAAAATGCTCTCCTTCTTTTTTATTTATTTATTTCCTTTGATTACCCTCGAGCAGATTTTCAATTGGAAATGAATTTCTGTCCTGTCTTCCGGCGCGATCGCGCCGCGACCGCCGGTGTAATTTCGTCTCGGCAACGCTCACATACCCCGCGGAATCGCGGGATCGACAATGTGTACGACGCTGTGCGCCTCGCGCTGAAACACCGTCGGGCGATCGTGTTAATCGGAGGGGAAATAAATCGTCCGACGCGACCTTTTCGAGCGATCGCGCGTGTGAGTAATCGCCCCGCGGAGAGATTATACCGTCGTGAAAGTTAATAGAACGGGTTAACACGTCGATTTCCGGTAACGCAGGCACTCAGGCGTTAATTTCGTATGACCACTTCAGGTTCGTACCGTTAGCATCTCCTCGATCCATCGCGAGCGACTTTACTTCCTGCCACGTGCCGCGAATTACTTAAGTCGCGCGAGTGAATTGATACGCCGTAAAGGCTGAATCACCGTGCCGCGAGATATCAAATAACGCTCGGGACGGGGAACCCTATATACAGGGCGGCCATTGAAATGCCCCGGGATCGACGGAACGTATCCGGATGAGGGACGTATACGTTTCTCGATTCAGCCACAGCAGAGTAGAGAGAGAGAGAGAGATAAAATGAGGATCGCGAGGATTGTTCGTAGTAAACGTAAATGCGATACCGGTGGTTGTAGTAAAATTACGATAAGTTCGATCGTGACTCGGATAAGAAATCTAAAGAGTCGATCCCCCCACATCGTATCATTACTTCTCTCCACGTTTGAAGATCTTATTTCTTGAATCTATATTTTAGAAAATGGAGATTGCGCGCACAATAAGACCGTCCGCGGGATGGTGTTCGTGATCTCCACTTTGGAAAAACACGGGCTCAAGCACATTTCGGTAAACGAGCTTTCATTTGTGCGCCGTCCCACGCGAACTTGTTGCGACCGGGTACTTCCAAGTCGGGCGATTCGCTTATTTGCTCGCTCGCTTGACCGGCCGGCCGGTCGGTCGGTCGACCGCGAGGATTTATCGGCAACGGAAAATAAATACAGCATTAATCTAAGGCGCAATTGCGCAACGAAGAGTATCAGCGGGACTAATTTACGGGTCTTATTACGAGCCGACCGAACGGAGGATTTGGAATGTACACTCCCTTAACCCTGATGAATGTCCTAATTGTGTGTACCGATAACTTGATACTCCGTGCCGCCGCGCGGCCGCCGCTTCGTTTCACCTTAATCGTCCTCGCAATTAATAACGAGAGGGAGATCGAGGCCAGATCGCGCGACCAATTTCCGCGGCGAAGCGCGCGACTTTGTCTTGACAAATCTGTATTCAATGGTCGTCACGTCGAATTTATATTCGCACAACTGCGACTTACGGCGCTCAAAGCGCGGATAATTATACTAATGATGAGAGGAAATTGCCGAATCGATTCTGCGACCGTCCGTTAATCTATTTACAGTACCGTCAATATAGTCGCCAATTACAAAAATATTATGCCGTTTTTATCCTACGCAAAATGTTAGTTTGGATAGTAAAAGCCGTGCATTCGGCTGAGTGTATATGACCTCGACAGAAAGGGGCAATTTTCCGTAATAACAGCGGATTGCACATGAATATAACCAAATAGCATTAACATACTATTGAGTATTTTTGAATAATAAACACATGCAGTGGGAATTTGAGGTATATAGTAAATTGAGGTTTACAGTGCTGTGTAAATGGTACATTCAGCTAAAAGTTTAAAATGCTTGTTCACTGATGAAAAATTATAGTTATTTTCAGTGCCAGTCGAATGTTTACTTTTTGCTTTTAACCATAAAAATAATTAGGAAAACCATTTTTTTAGTAAATGTTATTATAATAATCTTACATACATGTTGCTACTACTTTAAAATATGGTTGGCATCGAAAGTAATTATAATATTCTACCGGTGTTTAACATTAACAAGCATTCACATTGCGCATTTTGAAATAGCACGAATAAATTGCACGACTCTTTAACGTGATTCTTTCCTTTATTGAAACGAAACTGTATAAAAGAATACGTTGTCATTCATCAGTTGGAGTATTGAAGACGGATGTCTTCTCAAAAATATTCGTGCATACTCGTATATACTCGTCATATTTCTTCGCTTTAATAGATTACGCGTGCCTGAGAGTGCAAAAAACGAGTACAAAAATGATAGAACGGGCCATATGAAGAGTAAATGCAGCGAAATACTCTCGTGAGATCCAAATTACACGATTCAGAGATTTCTTGCAAATACGAGCTGACATTTACACGCTAATGACCTAATATTATTCGCGAAATATTAGTATGTTCTTTTTCCCTTTTTCTGTTATTCCCGAAATGTTTAATTGAGAATCTTAGGTCGCCATTGTTGCGATAATCGGTGCGCACTCTCGTCTCGACAGTCTACATTGTTACCTTCCAAAGAAAAACTATACACAGCTTCCGACGTGATGACGAACATCAACGCGCATTGTCTCTTCGCAGCTGTCAGTTCACTAATTAATTACACGCGCGATTGATCACACTTCGGATCAACTTTTTAGATGCACGTCTTCTACCTCCTTCCCGCCGCTCGTACTTCACAATTTGCTCGCAATTCGCAACGCCACCGTGGCAAAACCCGCAAGCTGTAAGGTAACGCGCGTCGGTAACATTGTGCCCGCTGTTACTTACCGAGCACTTAGTGCCGAACTAATCTAACCCTAACCTCTGTCGTCGTATTGTGACGCGGTTCGATGTGTCGACACTTCGAGCTGCAGGCCGAGGAAAACACGGGTGTTTAAAGTGACCGAGAAACCGATACGCCAACAAGATGTCCGGATACACAGGCCAGGACAATTACTGGACGCAACCGCCGCAAGGTCAATCACCCCAGAGCCAGTATTACTTCGAGTCGCCCGGTTTCGAGCAACCTAACCAACAGTTCGACTTCCAACCGTACGGCGATCAGCCCTACGGCGAATATTCGAGCACGCAAAAGGGCTTCCTGGATCCTACACAGAGCTCATACACCGGCGACATGTTCGCGCAGGATGATTATGGAAAAGGTTGGAACGCGTTACTTCATCGTCGCGATCGTCCGATCCTCGAGCTAAAACACCTGACGGTGTAACGTCATCGCTTGCGTGGTGCACGTAGTGCGCCTCTGTTTCCCCAGAAATGAAGCAGTCTGCGGTGGTAGATTCGCGTGACCAACACTTTCCCAGATAGCCAAATCTGGAAAAGCAGATTTTGTGCAGCATCTGCCGCAGATTCTGCAAGCAGCTTGTTTGCAGAAACCAATAACAAGATCTGATGATAAAGTCACGATGACAAACTGATGGCAGAAACCGAGCAAGATCTGTTGTCCCAATGTATTTAAATGGAACATACCGTTAGATTTATACTATACATCTACTATATGCACACACACACACGCGCGCGCGCGCACACACACACACGCAACACATACTATACAGATCCTGTTCATTTTCTGCTGCCAATTTTTTATCAGCAGATTCTGTTGGCAGAATAACAACAGATTGCAGACACAGACAGTAAATGTATCTGTTGTCAGACTGCTAGCAGATTGCTTATTGGGTTTGAGCCTAATGTCAGGACGCGTGCTCGGGGATCGTGATGTCAGGATCATCGAATAAAATGAGGATTGTGGAAACATAAAAAGCAATCTTGCAGGCAATAGCGGCTTCAGCGAAGAAGAAGACGAGCCACCTCTGTTAGAGGAGCTGGGTATCGACCCCGACAGGATAATGCAAAAGACCCTGGCTGTGCTGAATCCTTTTCACAGGAGGGGACAAATCGACGATGCGAATTATCTGCTGCAAGACTCGGATCTGGCAGGGCCAGTGGCGTTCTGCCTGGTTCTTGCCGCGTTTCTCTTATTGGCTGGCTCGAAAGCGCACTTCGGTTACGTGTACGGCCTGGCCTTGACCTCCTGCATACTCATGTACATCTTACAGTCGTTGATGAGCAGCAACAGTAACGTCACCTTGTCGTCAGTCGCGTCCGTACTGGGTTACTGTCTCTTACCGGTCGTCGTGCTGGCTGGCTTCAGCGTCTTCGCCACGCTGCGCGGCCCGATCGGCTTGGTCTGCGCGATCTTGGCCGTCGTCTGGGCAGCTCTGTCCGCCTCCAGGCTCTTTTCCACGATGTCCGGGGAGCAAGACCAGCAGTTGCTCATAGCGTACCCGTGTCTGCTCCTTTATGGCGTGTTTACGTTGATAATTATATTTTAAAGGAGCAAAAGTTGAACGATAAATGTGCACGACTTTGTTTCGTCTAACTTCTCGGATCCCGGATAGGAAGCGAATGTTTCTTGAGTAGTCAAGTTGGTACTAATTCAATACAATAGATTAAAAAAAAACCTCTAAACTTATTTATCTGAAGTGATTCTCATAGTTGAAATTTATGGATAATAAGTTTATATCATCGTATGTTACTGCATTACTGGTAACAAACTGTAGAACTGTTAATAACAAACTGTACTTGAAAGATGTATAATTCATTGGTTTTATCGTATCTTAAAGGAATTCTAGAATTATTTATATAGCGAGCATATTTCCAGGAAGATGCTTGATTTTAACAAGGGAAGAAAGCAATGTAAGCGCTTGCTGCAAGTGTGATTGCAAGCATTAGATTAAGTTATTTGCTATACATTTCTAAATAAACTATATGATACTTGCACATTGTTTTTTTGTTAATTTTACTGCCCAAGCGTTTCTCTTTGTCATAATCGCATCAAACGGACACATTCGCGAAGCAACAATGCAAGATTGTACTTCGTTACTTTCAATATCATTCTTTTGTAACAATGATCGATCATTGCTCATAAGGTGGGTCCACTTAGAAGTTCCTTAAGAATTTGTCAAACTATTCGATGCACAATCATGTCCCACAACTCCCGACTCTTTCGTTGCGGAGATTTCGACTCTAAGTTGAACGGCAAATCTACGATTAAAATTAAGACTTGCGAGAACTGTGGGACATGCCCTGTATTGCACATTTGAATAGAATCTGATTGCCCCACCCCCCTGTTGTAGGTGTTCCATCTGATCCGGCGCAAGTACAACAGCCGATTTTGGTTTGTACGGCACACATTCACTGGGATCCCGAGTACTGCGACGTGAAACTGATACAAACGATGATGCTGAGCAATGAATTACGTTCCATTTTGGACCAAGCTGGCCAGTCGTTTCGACCCGGCCACAAGCCTGACTCTTCCAACGTTCAACTGTTGCTTTGCGGCGACTTCAATTCCTTACCTGATTCCGGTAACACACCCTTATTCCATTAAATATATTTCTCTTAAACATTTACATTATAGTAGTTAATGTATGCGAATATACATGTATTCAATTCACTTAATTATATATTTGTACCTTGATACCTAACGCATGCTACGTGCTTACTAATAGTTACATGACATTATGCCGATTCATCACAGAGAGCATCGTTAAATTGCAGGCGTGATTGAGTTTCTTACGTCCGGGCGTGTGGCGGCGGATCATCGTGATTTTAAGGACTTAGCGTACAAATCGTGTTTACAAAAGATCTCCGGCTGCGACAAACCCAACGAATTTACGCACTCCTTCAAGCTTGCATCCGCCTATAGCGAAGACATTATGCCCTATACTAATTATACGTAAGTATACCAATATTACTCGTTCGATGTATTTATCTCCCTACTTTTGACATGTCATTGAAACATTAAAAATATTTCAAGTTACACATATATCTATATATTTATATCTTATACAGGAAATAAAGGAATGTATAGAATACACTGATAGTGATCTTATAAAAATAATCTCAAGTAAATCGTCGAAGCTTAATCGCTTTTCCCATGACGTGTACATATTTATAAACACGTACATGATACTTAGATAATGACTGCCTTATCGATTTACAGATTTGAATTCAAAGGCATAATAGACTACATTTTCTACTCGAAGCAAAGCATGGTGCCACTGGGACTCTTAGGTCCGCTTAGCCAAGAGTGGTTTAGAGAGCACAAGGTGGTAGGATGTCCCCATCCCCATGTACCATCCGGTAAGTTCCTTGCGCGAACAAATCCTGACAAGATGTTATCTCCAGTATGCTGTATGTGCGAGAACCTCTGTCGCAAAATATCGTTTGGAGATAGCCTCGATAACGTAATCTAATAAATTTCCCTTTCTCCTACTTCAGATCACTTTCCTCTGTTAGTGGAACTGGAGATGACACCGACAGTAGGAACAAGCAATGGTTTGATCTCACGCAGGTAGCAGCCGCTGCGATCTAGGCCCAAGTAACCGTCAAGAGACGATAAATCAATAACGAGGAACGACGAGGATGAAGGAAAAAGGATTCGCATCACTTCTATTACTTCTGGCTCTAGCAATATCACTCGCAGTCGACTATTACTCTACACTAGCGGACATTACACACAGATACACGTATACATGCATACCACTATACACCACTGCACACGTATACACGTACACGCGAAATATACTCCATACATCGTCTCGCACACTCGACACAAACGGTAGTCGGGTCCGGTGCACGGCCGGACGCGACACACAATTCTAACGACCAGGTGAAGGGAGCCGTGTTGTAATGCGTTTAGCCCATGTATAGTGTATTGCATTTTTAAAAAAGTGCTAACTCTCCCTATGCCTAAAGAGCATCGTGACCTCTCTAACTTACCATCACTAATATGTAGATACCTATTTTCCTATAAAACGAGAGAGATGAAAAAAAAAGCGCGAAAGGAGGAAAAGAGGAAACGACGACGAATATTCCGATTCAAAGAAAAGCCTCTGTGATATCGACATTTTAAACGCAATTGGAACAATTATTATTCACGTGTTTACCACACAACAGAGAAACTTAGCGTCTTGCTAGAGAGAGACACAAACACACACAACAAAAACCCTTTAGCAGACAGAGAAACCCCTCTCCCTCTCCCTCTCTCCTACCTCGCCCCCTTCTCCCTTCCTAAATGTCATTACAACATCCTCCAAACCAAACCTTTTGATAAGAATGCTGCCATCCAATGAGACAAAAGAAAAAAAAAATTGTATTTTTAAACGAAACGCGAAGCAAACGAGAAAAAAATACGAAAAACATACATGCTATACTGGGCTGTGCGAAGTGATTGGAGTTGACTTAAACAATTTCAATGCAAGTACAAATCTGTTCTTATTGGCCACGTATATATTGATAATACGATAATGTTATATAAGAAGACGAGAGCGTAGTTGATATTGTAGCGGGTGTATTTGTAAGTAAAACGATAATGTAAACGATGTTCATCATCACACACACGTCTGTCATAGCGTCGCGCGAGATCAGTCGATACATCTTCGCCCATACTTATAGGTATGTCCGTTCGGTTCGGATTAATTAATGTATGTGCTCTGTACTGCGTCAAAAAGCCACTATTACTACTACTTGTTAATTCAGTTGCCACCGAGAAAGAGAGGGGGAAGCCTGTACAATTTGACCGCGCTCGAACCGCCGCTCCGCTCTACGTACTCGTACCGCATTTCTTTCTTGCGCTTTTTTCTTTTTTTTTCTTTTTTTTTTAATCTGTATCAATTCTCTTCACTTTATCGTACCTCTCTTCATCGTCTCGCGAACGTGCAGTTATATAGTCGCAGCTACCAAAATGTAGATTCTAATTATCTTAGTTATCGTGTAGGGTGCGCGTGCTTGGTGAAGACCAATATCGGGATTGTATTGTAGCGATGAGGCGCTATGAAAAACGCAATTATACATTTAGTTAAAACAGTGCAAGTATATCTTATACGTAGCGCGTCGTCAAACACCTCACGCCTCGGTCTTTCTATTTTGCAATCGACTCGTCCGACGGTTCTTGGTGCGCGAGCGAACCGAGAGAGAGAAAGAGAGAGAGAGAGAGAGAGAGAGAGAGAGAGAGAGTAAAAAAAACTCTCGATACGTTTATATATCGCTGTACATAATTTCATTCTTATCGATTCCTATCTTTCGAAGCGATTATTGATACTCGCGAATGTACTGTAGATATGAGATATAATTTTCCTTATATATGTATGTTGTAAATATGACAATGGTACGTTGTTTTTTTTTTTTACGTTGACTGCAATTTACGTGTACGTTTATTATTCTGCTCTGCCGAGCGGAGAGAATCAAGAGCGATGATGCGGAAATTTATTAGATACTTTACGAGTTACGCACATGCTCTGTAGTATTACAGATATATCCTGACGTCATGCTTCGTGTCGTTTTACGATCTCTTGCCGAATCGCCCGGAAGAGAAAAGAAGGTTCTCGCGAAAGTGAGATAGGGAATGCTTACTTTGTACTCGCGCGCGTCTCGATCGTGTGTACAAATTTTCGTTCTTTCTCTTCTTCTTCTTCTCCTTCTTCGCGAAATAACTTCTCGCCGATGGTTTTCGCGAAAAAGGGTTTTCGCATGTTAGCAGCATAATAAAAACGATACACGGTTATTTCCGGGCATATACAGCTTTCTCCGTCGATAGAACATGCATACACACACGCGCGCAAAATGCGGGACAACACCAATATGATACGAACGACACCGAAACACATCGGGAAGATACGTAAGTTTATATGCACATACTATAATTCTTAAAATACTTTACGAATATATCGTAGCAATATAGCAATCGATCTCGTTATGTATGACACAATCGACAATTAAGACCTTGAGAGAGTTCCCATTCGGGAGCCGTGGTTTGTGCGCGCGCATCATCCGCAGTCCCGTCAACTGAATTACACAAGTAGTGAGCGATTAGTTTATCAAAGACATCTATGTAGTAAATGTTGTAATAATATAAAGTAGGCAATTAGTTTTAATTATATCCTCTGGCGAAAGAGATAGCATCTTCGCATATATATATATATATATATATATATATATATATATATATATATATATGTGTATATATATGTGTATATATATATAATATATTTGTATATTTCTTCGTATAATTAAGCGTGTTTTCGCACACGGCGAGCGAACGACGCGTCTCCTCTATCCAACATTTCTGTGACGGGACGTGTTAAAGTTATCATCGATTGCCGGCTGCTTCGGGCCTAATTTCGAAACGCGAATAACCCGAGGAAGAGGGACCACGACGGCGGTCTCTCTTCAGCAATGACAGCGTGAGTTGAAATTGGAGAGAATCTTTATTTATGCTGTCTTGCGTTTTTTTAAGCCCACACTGCGGACGGTTTGTAATTGGCGATAGAATTTTCTTTGTAACACACACATACACACACACGCGCGCGCGCGCGCGCACGCACGCACACACACACGCGCGCGCGTGTGTGTGTGTGTATATATATAGTAAGTAATAAAAAAATCGACGATGCGTTTGAAACGCCAGATGACGAAGCATGCGTTGAGAAATATTAGCAAATCTATTTAATTATTTATTTGAAGGAAAAAAGATTATACTAAAAGATACTCTCAGAAAAATGTTCGTGAAATATTTTTAAGACAATACCCGAAGAAGAAAAATCATATTCGAAATCTATTTGTTATTTGTTCTCGTTATTCCCTTTTTTTTATATGTAAACAATGAGTGCGACAGATGAGGGTAATTTTCCGTTCTGAGTGCTGTCGCAAATCATGGATCGTCCGAGGTGGGCTCCGTAAATATGGTGAAATGAGAAAAGAGCAAAAAAGACAGAGGAAAGAGAAAGCGCGCATGGATAATAATCGTTATTTACTCGCTCCTCTTTTTAACATTACAATTGTATCGCGTAGCGAAGATATTAGCGGACAGTTCAGTAATATGGTGTCTTAACTTTTAAAAAAGTGGCGAAGTATAAAAATGTACTTCGGTTCTTCGGGATGAAAGTACCTATGTCACTTAAACGCGGGATCTTCCAGCGGCCTTAACGGCGATCAAATTCGGACAGCGCCGAGGAAGGACTTTCCTCCTTCGGATGCGACAGAAGGCGGGCCAAAATCCGAGCACGATTCCTTTGCGAAATTATTCTTCATTTTACGATCGCTCATGATGAAACACCGAAAAAGAGAGATAAGAAGCGCGCGCAAGCCACCGACATATCTCAGCCGAAGCCAGTATTTTTTCGCATGGGTATTTTCATCGCTTCCCTCCGGCGAAGCTCACTCCGTGATTTGTCTCTTATCTACTAGCAAGAGCGTAAAAGCTGAAGCGAAAATAGGAAGGGAAGAAAAGAAACGGGGAAGAAAAGGGCAAACAAAACACGAGTGTGCACGAGTTTGTATTGATTGCTATCCGATTCTTTCTTTTCCGACGACACGTGGACATGCGTTTGCGTTTTAGGGGTAAATGTGTAAACGATTAATTGTGTAATCATGTGTGCGACATGGGAAAAAGCAGCAGCAACTGACAGCAGCCTCTGTCCGATCGTTCTCCGGCGACACGCGTAAAATCAAAGCGATTCTTGCGTAACGTAACAAGAAGAAAAGACGCGAGCACGGGTTTCGCGCGTGCTCGCCCCCCTTCTTCGCTCCTCTTTTGCGATCGTTTTCCCATTGTTCGCGAAGATGTATGCCAAGGGAAATTTATACGCACTCGCTTCACAGCACACACGCACACACACACACACACACACACACACACACACACACACACACACACACACACACACACACACACACACACACACACACACACACACACACACACACACACACACACACACACACACACACANGTCTTTTCTTCGCTCAGAGAGAACGAGGGGCGACGGTCGCGGCCGGGCGACGACGAATACGACACGCTCACATGCATTTCGGTTCGCGCGCGCGAAGCCTACGTCATAGTGTAATTATTCGGATACATTAGCTCTCTGTCGGAAGCGAACGGAGCGGCTCGAGAGGACTCGGATGATATGTACTTTCGACGATCTTGACTTTCACGAGCATCCTCCGGCTGTATCTGCGTTCGTGAACACTGGCGATACCGCGAAACGACGCTTCAGCTTCACGCCGAAAAGAACAAAAAAAAAATTAATGGAAGGATCGCATTCGCGGGCAAAATTAAGGAGATCTCGTCCGATCGAGCGAATTGCGCTCGAACGCGGCGCGATGTAACGTTAGATTCACTTATCCTTGTGCATATCGACTTAACTTTGTGCATATCGATTTGACGATATCGCAACAGACCGTTCTCAGATGAGCCTCTGAGATGCGAATAAATCAATATTAATTGTACATTCGGGATTGATCGACGAATTGCGGTGCATCGGCAACCGCAACCGAATTATTCGATCGCTGTCGCGTCGTTTCCGTGAGATCGCTGCTCCACCTTCGGAACGCTTTTACCGCAGTTTAATAGGAATAATTTGTGATCGCGCGTTTTTCGATACGCGCGGAGGTCCTCGCCGCGAAGTGTGCGAGAATCGATCGCGGATCGCGTCGTGAGGAATTTTAACACTGTAACGTTTATCTTATATTAGGATTATATTAACGTGTTCTCTCGTTTACTTCTGCAAGGCACACACACACACACACACACACACACACACACACACACACACACACACACACACACACACACACACACACACACATAGTAGCGACGTTTTTAAGGGAATCGTGCACATGTACTGTAACAAAAGCGTTTGATGAATCCCGAATCGACTCTCTCGAGACGGGCTTCCTGCGAATTCGAATTTCGTCGAGATTTAAGTATGCAAAACGGAAACAGAACAGAAATCTTTCATTTGCATTTTCGACCCGAGCCGTCGCTACGCGTCGTAGATAAAAATTCCCGAGAGAAAATTTCACCAGCTGGTGCGCAAAAGTCCACACCGCCCGTCTTGAAAGGGTCGTTCAATTTTCGTTTCACCCCGCGTTGTCCCTCTCTCTTTCTCTAACTCTCTCTCTCTCTCTCTCTTTTTCTCTCCCTCCCTCCCTCCCTCTTCCCTCTCTCCCTTTCTCTCTCTCGAATCGACGCCGGTCAGCGAGAATTGTACATAAATTTTTCTACAGATGAAAAGCGCGCATCCACGATCCGCTGCGACTCGCGACGGGATATTCCGTTTGTAATTTCATCGCGTCTCACGCGACTCTCGAAGAACGAAAAGCACTCGAGGACCCGTGAAACGAGCAGCTTTGAACTTGTGACTCCGTGCCCTTTGAGCGTTCCCTCGCGGATAGATCACACTGTCCAGAATACCGTCGCGCGACAACGGATCGCCCGAAGCGTGGCTCGTAGCTTTAACACGCATAATATTTACGATCCCGATTAAAGCGCGAATAAACTACCTAGATATCGTATATCGTGCCGGAATAATCGCGCGCGCTAAAGTAGATCTTAGTAGATCGTAGCGGCTTGGAGCAAGTCGATTGCAATCGCGATCGTCTCGCAACGTGGAACGATCGCGATCAAAGCTCCCGACTACTCTCACTCTGACTGTCTTATTTAATGACGTTATTTAATGACGTCAGAAGTGAGAGAACGCATGCTGAGATTTTTCGCGTTATTCTCTCGAATAAAAAGATATATATCTAGAAAGTGACATTTGTGATCGATTCAGCGAACATTTTTCTTTTATTCAAACAATCAATAAATAGTCATGAAATTAACTGACAAGACATTGTGACAAGAGAGAGAAAGTATTAAAATGATTAAGAGGATGGCTCCGTGTCAAGTTAATTTTGCGGTTATTTATTGATTGCTCGAGTAAAAGAAGTGTTAAAGTTTATTTGAAAGAATAACGCAGGAAAGCTTGGCATGCGTTTCCTCGTTTTTGATGTTATTAGACGAGGACAGCGAAATCAGGAGGCTTAATGTTCTCGGGACGGGCTTTTCTTGCTTGCTTTTTATCGGCGAACGATAATGTGGAAAGAAACGGGTCCCGTCGAAAAGTCTCTCGAATTTAAAAGCACGATAGACACGCTTCGCGATACAATGACATAGCCGCCCGTTCCGAAACGCGGAAGATCCGTGACGAAACAGTCGATTTCAACTCACGGCTGAATCGCAAGACGATATTACGCGGTTTCTCTCAGCGATCTCTCTCTAAATGAATAATCACATAAAGTAGCATTCGCATGCCGTTGAATATGTTTTAGCGTGTCGCATATCAGGTGTCATGACAATGCCGTGACGTCAAGTACACATAATTTCTGAAGGACATCCCGGTTCTGCTACGTGAAATTGGCACAGTGTTCCGTATTTCTCTTTTTCTCGGTGAAAAAAATTCTCCCAAATTTTCGCGATGCGTCGCCGATCTCGTTAAGAAACCGGTTGGTTCTCCATCGAAATTTCATTTGGCAATCATGTGAACGACGATAAGCGACGTCACTTTCGCGAGGAGTAAGATACATTTCTAAGCTTGACAATAAGCAGGACGGTCCCCGGGACCATCCTTGCGTTATATTCAACGGATCTTTCAATAAAGAGTCTTTCGTAGTGCTCTTACACCGTCGGTGATAGGCTTCACTGGCCTATACGTCGTTTGATCGTTTTGCTTTTCTCTTTCTCCATCGCATTGTATCGTAATCCTTTGCTAGATTACTTTAAACGGTTATCGTTAAACAACACTTGTCGCGTTGGTCCTTGCTTTACCGCACGATCGTATTCTGTAAATATCTAAAAAAAAAAAGTAGAAGAAGAAGAAGAAATCGACTTTCCACTTTCGTTTGCACACATATCGTAGGAGAAGGCATATATCGTAGACCCCGTGACTCGTAGTCGCGGTAATTTTGTAAAAAGACAGCAATTTATTTATTTAACGACGCGCACGCGCGCGAACGCCTCCATTCCATTTTTTGTATGAAAAAGAAAAAAGAAAAATGTGAGAAAGTGCCAATCTTCTTCAAGAATGCATTTCTTCGTGGCACTGTCCTTTCAGAACCACACCACGACGTGCTTGCAGAGGGGGGACGCAATGAGACGCGTTAGTTTCGTAAATAATGTATCTGCATGGCTCTAAAAACCGGGGGGAGGGTCCTCCGAACCAGGATCCACGGGGCTCTCGGGGTTCGACTGAACACGAACACTGGCCAATTGATTTCATCTTCTTTCCAACGAATATCTTGGCAACTGTATCTCGATTTACGGCCGGTTGTTCTGCTTTCGGATCAATTTAAATAATGAACAAATATAAATGGATAAATATCTGAAATTTCCATATGGAAGTAAACTACAAAAATACGAAAAAAATTACTGATGTATTGTTCGTCAACAGTGTCCTTTGATAGTAACTTTTTCGTCATTCTTATAATTTATTTCCGTATGGGAATATTCTTCAAGTATGTATTCATTAGATAAATTTATCCGAAGGTGGAACAACCGGCCCTCACTCCGGCTTCCTTTGTAACGTCGCCTATCTCGTCTTACGCATCTTAGAAGAACTAGAAGAATTGAAGAGACATTATCCGCGAAGAGAACCATCCCGAAAGGATTCGTGGACGCTCGAGGAGAATCGAGAACCCCCTCCCCCCCCCCCCC